CAAGGGTGGTTGTAATGAGGGATCTTAGCTGCAGATTCAATTCAATTCAATTCAATTCAATTCAATTTTATTTGTATAGCGCCAATTCATAACAGAAGTTATCTCAGGACACTTTTCAAATAGAGCAGGTCTAGACCGAACTCTTTAACATTAATTACAGAGACCCAACAGTACCACCATGAGCAAGCACTTGGCGACAAGGGCAAGGAAAACCTGTTAAAAGGCAGAAACCTAGGACAGATCCTCCGGCTCTAGGTGGGTGGTCGTCTGTCTCGACCAGTTGGGGTGAGAGAGAGAGAGAGAGAGAGAGAGAGAGAGAGAGAGAGAGAGAGAGAGAGAGAGAGAGCGACAGACAGACAGACAGGTGCACAGCAACAACAGTATTGGCAATGGCAGTCAAGCAGGACCATGGCAGGAGGCTCCACCAGGGTCCATGAGAACCTGCGAGACGAGAAAGCACAAGAACTCCGGGGAAGAAGTGGAGTTAGTAACATGCATTAAAGGGACATGAATGAGTGCAGAAAGAGAGAGGAAGAGAGTAGCTCAGTGCACCATGGGAAATCCCCCGATAGTCTAGGCCTATAGCAGCATAACTAAGGGATGGTTCAGGACTCACCTGATCCAGCCCTAACTATAAGCTTTATCAAAGAGGAATGTCTTAAGCCTACTCTTGAATGTGGTGAGGGTGTCTGCCTCCCGAACCACAACTGGAAGCTGGTTCCACAGGAGAGGAGCTTGGTAACTGAAGGCTCTGGCTCCTGTTCTACTTTTAGAGACTATAGGAACCACAAGTAGCCCAGCATTCAGAGAACGTAGTGTTCTAGTGGGGTAATAGGGTACTATGAGCTCTTTAAGATATGAAGGGGCCTGACCATGAAGAGCTTTATAGGTGAGGAGGAGGATTTTAAATTCAATTCTACATTTTATAGGGAGCCAATGCAGAGTAGCTAGTACAGGAGAGATGTGATCTCTTTTTCTAGTTCCTGTCAGTACTCGTGCTGCAGCGTTCTGAATTAATTGGAGCGTTTTAATGGACTTATTGGGGCAACCTGATAATAAAGAGTTGCAGTAATCCAGCCTTGAAGTAACAAATGCATGGATTAGTTTTTCTGCATCTGTCTGTGATAGTATGTGTCTAATTTTTCTAATATTACGTAAATGAAAGAAGGCAGTCCTAGAGGTCTGCTTTATGTGGGAGTTAAATGACAAATCCTGATCAAAGATAACTCCAAGATTCCTGACAGTGGTGCTAGAGGCCAAGTTAATGCCATCTAGAGTGACTATATCTTTAGACAATGAGTCTCTAAGGTTTTTGGGGCCAAGAACAAGAATTTCGGTTTTTTTCTGAGTTTAACATCAGAAAATTGCAGGTCATCCAGGATTTTATGTCCTTAAGACATGTTTGTAATTTAGATAATTGATTAATTTCATTGGGTTTGATTGATAGATATAACTGCGTATCATCTGCATAACAGTGAAAGTTAATGGAGTGATTCCTAATAATGTTGCCTAAAGGGAGAATATATAAAGTAAATAGTATTGGTCCAAGTACAGAACCTTGTGGAACTCCATGACTAACTTTAGTATTTATGGAGGATTCATCGTTAACATGTACAAACTGAGAACGATCTGATAAGTATGACTTAAACCAGGTTAGGGCAGTTCCTTTAATGCCAAATTGATGCTCAAGTCTCTGTAAAAGAATATCATGGTCAATGGTGTCAAATGCAGCACTAAGATCTAATAATACAAGTACAGAGACAAGTCCATTGTCAGAAGCAGTCAGAAGGTCATTATTAACTTTAACCAGAGCTGTCTCTGTGCTATGATGAACTCTAAATCCTGACTGAAAATCCTCAAATAAACTATTGTTATGTAGAAAGTCACACAACTCTTTGGTGACTACTTTCTCCAGAATCTTAGAGAGGAACGGGAGGTTAGAAATCGGTCTATAGTTGGCTAAAACCCCTGGGTCAAGAGTGGACTTTTTAAGAAGGGGTTTAATTACAGCTACTTTAAAAGGACTGTGGTACATATCCTGATAATAAAGAAAGATTAATCATATCCAGTAAAGAAGTGCCAATTAAGGGAACAACTTCTTTAAGCAGCCTAGTTGGGATCGGGTCTAACAGACAGGTTGATGGCTTCGATGAAGAAATGATTGAAGTTAACTGATGAAGATCGATAGCAGAAAAACAGTCTAAATATACATCTAAGTTTACATTGACAGAAGTCCCTGAACTTGGAGAGCCACTGATAACTGTTGATGGCAGTTGGTGATTAATTTTTTCTCTAATAGTAATAATTTTATTATAGAAGAAGCTCATGAAGTCATTGCTACTTAAGTTTATGGGGATATGTGGCTCGATAGAGCTGTGACTCTCTGTCAGCCTGGCTACAGTGCTGAAGAGGAACCTAGGGTTGTTCTTATTTTCTTCAATTAGTGCTGAGTAATAGGCTCCTCTGGCATTACGGAGGGCCTTTCTATAAATCTTAAGATCATCTTGCCAAATTGAGCGATATTCTGATAATTTGGAAGAGCGCCATTTCCTTTCAGATTTTCTAGCTTTTTGTTTTAACTGGCGGGTTTGGTGGTTATACCAAGGTGCTAGTCTCCTATGTTTTAATAATTTCCTTTTTATAGGAGCGATAGAGTCTAATGTTGATCGTAGTGAGCCTGTAGCACTATCGACAAGATTATCAATTTCAGAGGGACTAAAGTCATTATAGGACTCTGTTAAATTCAGACATGGCATTGAATTAAACACTGAAGGAATCTCCTCCTTAAATTTAGCTACAGCACTGTCAGATAGACATCTGCTGTAGGAAGTTTTGCCTAATGGCTTATAATCTAATAGTATGAATTCAAAAGTTACTAAATAATGGTCAGATAGGAAAGGGTTATGTGGAAAGGCTATTAAATGTTCAATATCAATGCCATATGATAAAACAAGGTCAAGAGTGTGATTAAAACAATGAGTTGGTTTATTTACACTCTGACAGAAGCCAATTGAGTCTATTAATGATATAAATGCATTACTAAGGCTGTCATTGTCAACATCCACATGAATATTAAAATCACCTACAATAATTACTTTATCTGATTTAAGGACTAAGCTTGATAGAAACTCTGAAAATTCAGATATAAAATCAGAGTACGGTCCAGGAGCGCGGTACACTATAACAAATAGAACTGGCTGCAGTGTTTTCCAGTTTGGGTGAGAAAGACTAAGAACAAGGCTTTCAAATGAATTATAATTTAGTTTAGGTTTAGGGTCCATTAAAACGCTCGAATCATATATGGCTGCCACTCCACCTCCTCGGCCAGTGCCTCGAGGAATGTGAGTATTAATATGACTGGGGGGGTGGATTCATTTAGGCTAACATACTCCTCGTGGGACAACCAGGTCTCAGTAAGACAAAGTAAATCAATATCATAATCTGATATTAATTCATTCACTAAAACAGCTTTAGAGGACAGAGACCTGATATTTAACAGCCCACATTTCATTCTCTTATTTTGTGCTACTGAGGAGTTGGTTTTAATTTTTATTAGATTTTTATGTTGAACTCCTCTTGTTTTTATTTCTTTAAATAGTTTAGGTGGTTGGGGGACAGACACAGTCTCTATGGGGTTTTGGGTGGGTGACTGTTCTAAAGAAAGCGCAGAGAAGTGTGTAAGACAGCAGCTCTGCTTCCTGGTCCTAACTCTGGACTGTCAGGTTTTAGAGATAAACTTCGCCATATTCCTAGATAAGAGAGCCGCTCCATCCAAAGTGGGATGGATGCCGTCTCTCCTAATCAGACCAGGTTTTCCCCAAAAAGGCTTCCAGTTATCAATGAAGCCCACATTGTTTGCTGGACACCACCGACAGCCAGCGGTGGAATGACGACATGCGGCTATACATGTCATCACTGGTCACATTGGGGAGGGGTCCAGAGAAAACTACGGTGTCCGACATTGTCTTAGCATAGTTACACACCGACTCCACATTAATCTTAGTGACCTCCGATTGGCGTAAACGGGTGTCGTTACCGCCGACGTGGATAACAATCTTACTGTATTTACGTTTATCTTTAGCCAGCAGTTTTAAATTTGATTCAATGTCGCCCGCTCTGGCCCCAGGGATACATTTAACTATGGAGCTGCCAATAACCAGAGTTGGTTCCTCAGCGGGTGTGTCGCTGAGTGGGGAAAATGTATTAGAAACGTGAAGCGGTTGGTGGTGACCTGTGGGCCGGCTGCTCGGGAACTACCGGGGGAACTACCGGGGGAACTACCGGAGGAACTACAGAGCTAACAGAAGCTACCTTCGGTCGGACCGCACCGGCTACCGGGGGCTGGCTAACTATAGCGGCTAAAGATATCTCCGTGGTGCGGTGCCGTTCCTCTAACTCACTAAGCCTCGCCTCCAGCGCAGTAAATAAACTACATTTAATACAGGTACCATTATCTTTAAAGGAGGCAGAGGAATAACTGAACATCTGACACACTGAGCAGGACAGAGGAAGAGGAAGAGGAAGAAGCCATAGCTAACTGCTAATGCTAATGAAACTAGAGTGTATGAAAAACTTTGAAAGTAGTGAAAAGTCCCTAAAAGAGTTTAAGTAGAACTAGTCTACGTTTAAATGTTAAGCGGGAAAATAACCGCTGTAACGAGTAAAACTAATTTATATTTAGCGTTCACTGACAGAGCTACAGCACCAAACACTGTACACAGAGCAGGTCAGTACGCTTACCGTAGCACGTCCAACCAGCAGAGGCGTCCAACAATGACGTGAGGTATCACAGCAGACTTCCAGGTTGATGGCTATGCATTTATGATACTAAATCTCCAGTATCTTATTCTTCAATTATTATTATTATTATTCACATCTCAAGGGTGTTTTAGCAACAACCGCAGCACTGTAGTAGGTCGAGCAAAGCTGGCCCTAGACTCTCATTAATCCAGGCTGTAACATGCTGCTTCCTGGTTAGTGAGACACTTTACAGTTCCATATAAATTCTCTAATGTTTTTTATTAAGGGTTTTAGAGACACAGATGTATTTCAATGGGTAATGACAAGAACAGATACTGAAGCCTTGGGGATGATTTCATTCACTTAATTCTGCCAATCAAGATAATCGGTAGATTCATTCATTTACGTAGAGCCTCCTCTAGTTCACTAACCACAGGTTATTATGGTTATTATCTATTCTATATCTATTATAACCAAGATATCTCATACTACTTGGAGCCCATTTGAACAGGCTTGTGAAGTACTCTGTGTAATCACGGGGAAACGACCTTGTGAGGTAACATCGGTAAATAGGAGTTTGGCAAAGAAACCAAAAGGCAGTTGACATTTGTTCACTTGTGGTGATAAAAGGCACATGTTTAAGAGGGGCGAACCCCCAAATTAGTGACAATGCAGTACGGATAAATTCACTCCATCTAGGAAAAGGCATTTTATACAGACTATATGCAAAAGTCTGATCACTTAGACACAGATACTATTGCTTCTATGCCACTCACTATAGCAGTTCCTTAAACTGGTGAAACAAAGTGTCTTTTGACAAACGCTGCAATAGACTGGCGACTTTTTTTTGCAGACCACACATGCCCTTCTGCCAGCAGTGGCCCGATCTCTGGGAGCCACATTGCTCATTTGTTCTACAAAGTAAGTTGGCAGATGACCTACACTTGGAGAGGCTGTAGCAGGTGGCACGTCAGTGGATGGAGAAGGAGATGGCACTGCGGAAGGAGAGGCCGGTGGGACACTGGATGGGGAGGCAGGTGGCCCTGTGGACAGGGACGAGGGTGCAGGAGGAGCAGGGGGCACTTTGAAAGGAGAGGCAGGAAAGTTTTGTGGACCCGACCGGCGTGGAGTTGACCCAATCTCAGCCAGGGACAAAATCAGTTGTTCCCTGAACTTTTTCTGCACCAGTACAGGCCGATTCTGCAGTTTGCACATTTCCTTGTGGAGGATGAAGGCATTCACAGTGGCTATGTCCACAAAATGATAAAAGAGAGTTTTGTACCACTTCTGGGTTTTATGGAGGACATTGTAGTAAGAAATGAGTGCATCTGACAAATCAACACCCCCCATGTACTGGTTGTAATCTTTGATGCAGCCTGGAATAGGCACCTGCTTTACTGTCCACTGTCCGCCTGCGTCTTTCATTTTGCGCGTTGCCGTGTCATTGCTGTATGCTTTGTGTAAAGTAGAACACAGTGTAACCTCCCGGGTGTCTAACCACTTAACAAACAACAGCTCTCCTTTTCTGATCCACCGAATGGTTCCCCTTGGCGTTTTCTTGGTCATGTCATTCCTTATATTTTTGGGATAACCGGAGACGTTGGGACGAACGGTGCCGCATGCCCAGATTTTTCTCAGAAGGAGGTCACGGAAAAGAGTTGGACTGGTGTAAAAGTTGTCCACGTAGAGCTTGTATCCTTTGCCCAGAAAGGGGATGTCCAGAAGTCGCATGACAGCATCATAGCTTTGCCCCTTCCCTGTGGGTTCACCATTTTTCCCCCCATACACAAAAAAGTTCTGGGTGTAGCCGCATATTGAGTCTGCTAAAACAAAGAGCTTAAAGCCCCATTTAGTAGGCTTGTTTCTAATATACTGCTTCAAACCGATCCTTGCTTTCGTTGCCACCATCCGTTCATCTATGGAGATATGCTGGTAGGGATGAAAGAATGTGTAGCAGGCCTCCAAAATCTGCTCATATAGTGGCTTTATCTTGCATAGTTTGTCATACCCTGATGTCCCTTTCTTTTGGTCGTTGGCCGCTTCAACTGCAAGATCATTCATGTGTAGACTGTTGGAAATGGCTAGGAAGCGTCTGCAGGGCATAACAGAGGCAGGAAATGGCAGGCTGAACAGCTTAGATCCTCTCCAGAACTCTTTCAGAGTTTTTAGTGGGACAATACCCATGTAGAGGACAAGTGAGAGGAAAGAATACATGTCTGCTGTTGTGACCGGCACCCAGCTTTCCTTCTGGCTTTGGTATTTCTTTTCCCCATAGGCATTGGTGTTCTTGACCAATGTATCGATTACTGTCGTAGAGAAAAACAGCTGGAACAGTTCGAGTGGCGTGTAATTTGCAGTTCTGTTCAGCTGTGGCCCTACGTCCCTCTCAGGTCTGAACCGTGGTTGAGGAGGCTCAATATCCTCCTCATCCACGTTATGCCACCGGTCCCCATCCTCGGCTTCACCCTCTTCCTCTCTCACAGGCCCTTTTTCTGCTTGCCTCTTACCACCTTGATTTTTCCTGCATGGGGTGGAGAACTTCTTGCCAGTCTTGGGGGAGGGGGAGTCTTTTTTGGGTGTGGATGCACAGCGGAGCTTCTTTTTGAAGGGACTCTCTTTCCACTTCTTGGATGGGGATTTCTGGGGCGTTGTCCCTGCAGAAGCAGAAACAGAGCGGCAACGCTTCCTAGAAGCTCCTCTCTTTGTGGGCGTACTATTCCACTCCTCGTCTGAGCTGTCCTCATCAGTCAAGTCTTCCCTGTAAATAAAGTAGATAGGTATGGATTAGTGACATAGTAGGTAATGCCTTTCCTCCAGATAAAATTATTAATTGCGACATTCCCCAAAACTTGCTTTACTAACAAGAGTAAGGGTGAAACAAAGAGTGAATAAAGGAACTGCGTGTCGTCTCCAAAAAAAGGGGGGAAAAAACCCATCAAAACCATCAATAAAGGGCAGTAGTAGAAAGTGATCATGCTTTTTTATTTTTTTATTTAACCTTTATTTAACCAGGAAAAGTCCCATTGAGTTACAGTAACTCTTCTCCCAGGGAGTCCTGGCCAAGACTGGCAACAAAAAGTTAAAAAAAAAAAAAAAATGTTTTATATATATATACATAAAAGACAGGCTAATGGCTATAATAATATTATATTGTTGCCACTGTAATAATATTAAATAAATAAGAATGAAAGTAGTTATTGTGTTAGTCAATAGGAATGGGGACTTTAATATCCCTGGCTGTGTTAGGCCTTTGTGGGCAATGTTACACAACAGTGAGCAGGACTGATTCATGATTATACATGATTTATTTTTTGCATTAATGTGATAAAGTACCTCCAAAAAAAAGTACCAAGCTCCAAAAATATGGCTCTGCTCCCATAATACAACTGAACATCTCCCTCTCAGCATGGTAAATGCCCATGTCTTCATACTGGGAACTTTTGCAGGAAGTTCACTTTGCAAACGATGACTGTTTCATTCAACAGTCATACATTTGTATCATTTTGTTATCATTTATTTTCTACTTACCATGTTTATTGTTATGCATCCTACTTACTTTTTAACATTATCAGATTCTCCTCTATTCCATAATAATAATTGCAGTAGGCTACACCCTCAAGTTGACTACAAGCATTTTATTTGGTGTGAATGAGATTCACATGAAAATTGTTTAACGAGAAGTCAAAGCATGCAATGAGTAAAAACGTTCTGTACAAAACTGTACACCAAAGTGGGTTGCCCTAAAACCCTCATACCCCCCCTCCCCTGGGCCACCCCTTTCAGAAAAGAACCTGCAACTGCCCCTGCTGCGCAGGATCTCACGGGCCAGCTATGTTAATGAAGCTACAGTGATGAGCATACAGAAACATATAAAGTTCACAAAATAGCTGGACAGCTGGTTAGAGCTGTGACCGCGGATCGCGACGTGCACGCGCACATGTTGCAGACTGCGGCCGTCCGGGTTTAGACACTTTGTTCTGGATGATCAGCGGTTTTTGGTTTCGTTAACGGGGCCTTTCCGCGTGGTTTCCCATTGTTCTGCTGTGGGTTTGTGCACAGCGCTAACTGTCTGCGTGCACCGGCAACTTCAGCCAGTGCGAGAGGGTCGCAGCAAGTGCACACGGACAGATGCACAAGCAGGAGTTTGCACAGGACAAGTGCGGCAGTTTTAAGTGTGCTGTACTGTAGTAAATGCTAGTCCCACTGCTTGTAATTTTGAATGGTGACTGTACTCACTGATCTGATCCTCGGACCCCCCCCCTCGGAATGTAGTCCTCGTCCAGGCTGCCATGGCTGTTGTCGCTATCAGACTCCGAGTCCGAGTGGACCTGCTCTAATTCATCCTCAGACTCTGAAAGAAACATGTTTAAAGTCCGACGAGTTGTGAGACTAATTTTCTCTGTGGAAAGTTTCGAGGGTGCGATCCAGTCCCATGGGTCCTCCCACTCTCTCCACGCTCCCCCCTCCACACACTGAGATAAATAGATTCCTTTTACGCGGGTGTCTCTGGTCCGAGAGGATGTCCTGGCCATTACTTACCATGTATGGTTAGGAGGGCAGCTTCATTACCTATGCATGCAAAATGTGACCTTACCACTGGACGGGCACAGTGCCAGTAAGTGACACACGTGTCTGCTTTGTACATGCGCTCCCGGGATTGGCTGAGGAAATACAAAACACTTTACATCCACTGGTTTAGGGGATTTTTTTTTTTAGCTCCTGGGTTTCTGATAATCTCAGTACTGCTTAATATAATTGGTCAAATTATTATTATTGATGGCTGATGAACAGATACAATTTTTTTAATGATACAGGTATTCATTCAAGACCAAATTTAGTTTGTGTTGTCAGTCTATAAAACTGTAAAGTGTGGTATGAATGCAGGAATAAATGAGACTGGAACAGGACAGGAATGAAACTGTTAGTTGGCTGTTTAATTCAATATATATTTTGCAAATTCTATTTTTAATTACAGATCACCTCCTGAAATGTATTAAGATATAATACAAATAGTCTTCTTGGAACAACAATGTGTTTATATGGTTTTTTTTTCCCCCACAAAAAAGTATAATTTCCACATTAAACCCTTAAAAATCTATTCCTTCTACCTCATTAAAATTCCAGAAACTGAGAATATGCAAAGTATGTAACAACTAGAACAGACTTGTGCTTATTATCCATATTGGCTAACAGCAATAAACATAAAAGGTCTATGGTCATCAGCGCTAACCAATGACCATTAATGACAGCAATATTTGTAGCACTTTTCCCTTAAAAGTTGACAAAATATATGGTATCCTCACCTGGGTTTGTCTGAATAACCTCAACTCGTCATATGTCCAAACAGTGACGATGGAGATGCAGAATAAGTGAGTCTCTTGAGATTTCTACCCATTGCAAACATGTAAATGAAAAAGGCTTTTCTTTTGACACTGTTCCTTAAACCCCTGGCATTCAAATAACAAAGTGAAATGTAAGTTATTAAAGAGCACAGTTTACTCCCAGCACTAATGAAGAATAGTAAGCAGGAGAAGTTTTTAAAGCAGACAACTTAGAGAGGAAAAAGCCTGTATTAAGGGGACCATTTTAATCCATCATCAAGTGTAGTCTTCGAAATTGACTTATCCTATAATCCTCACCGTGGGTGTAACATCTGAAGTGTGCAACCTTTGGTTCTAAAAATGTTTTTGTCGCAGCCTTTTCCAGCCAGAGGAGCAGATAATTTGAAGATACTGCAGATAGGACAGCTCCAGATACAAAGAAAATATATATACATTGATGTTGTTAGTGTGTGTGCTTGCTGAGAATCCGAGCACCTTGTCCTGATGTTCACTTGGCTGGGCATCTGTCTCAATATTTGATTTTAGTCATCTTTTTTAAGTAATTAGTCAGTAATAGAATTAGAAAATGTAAACTAACTTGTAATAGCATGTGTGTATGATGGGTTGCATGGTGGTGTAAATGCTGTTATGGGAGCTTTGCCATTGTGCAAACAACAGAGTTCTGGGTATCACTTTTTTGGCATGGGAATAAAAACGTAGCTATCATAGGCAAAAATATGGCTCGGGTTGACAATAAAACAACAGAAACTTTGTTTTACCAGACCACAAATGGAGTCTGATAGTAAAACCGTTTGTCAGTAATACTGTATTACCCACATAAAAGCTTCTATCAACTCAACTGTGTATATAAACAAAAATGTTATACTCCCCGGCAGCATAATGGCATTGCTTTTTCACATCAGCTAAATTAAATGGGAAACGTATTTGTCATGCCCTTTCAAAATGTCGACAATTTAGTCATTAAGAACCAACGTTATAATAAACACCTATAATCAAAATACAGTCTTATGTGTACCATTCACAATTAACCATGTTGTTCAAATAAATGTTGTAAACACTGTGGTGATTTAATGTATTTACAACGAATCCATGAACAGATTATTGAGGTTAAAATTGCAATGCTATTTGGCTAGGCTACACTTAGTCACCTGTCCCCTCAATAAAAGTAATCACAGACTTAATGTACACTTTCCAGACAATGGGAAGAAACATGGTTACATATTGACACAATAAATAAACTGACAAGTTATCTAATAGTTTAATCAGCTGTAAACTCTGTGTTGTGTTCATCAGTTCACTGCTATATGAAAAAATACCAACATTCAGACACATTGCTTAAACCCTGTGTGGTGTAATCATCTGTAAGTTTGAATTTCTTTTTTGTAGTGAGCAGTTGTTTTAAATCCTTGATGTGGGGGTGTAGAAGGCCTGCTGTTATCTAAGGCAAGTATTTGTCAGCTGCGTGTGCATGACATCTACTAATATGCGTTTGAAAGTGCAGGGATCTCATAATCATCTGTGTTACTCAGAGTGAGGCTGCTGAGTGACCCTGTCTCCCCTTCCCCATTAAAAATCAGAGACAGTGGTGTTTGCCACTGTGGAGAGGCTGAATAAGCTCCCACTCACTTTTATAACCCTAGTTCTCAACAGAGTGTGGAAGAACTGAATGGAGAAGCCCAAATTAGGCTCTTTATTCATCATGTGGAACCTTAAAAGAGCTTCAGTAAAGGTAGTCATTGTCTGAGGGTTTTTGTGCCTTCTAAATTGAAAGGGAAATTAATAAATCTTCCTCTGAACAATCTAACGCCAGTCCAGTTTAGTGGAGGTAAATGGAATTTCCCATCATTAAAAAAAGAAGAAAATAATCCATACACCTCATTGTAAACACATGGACCTACTTTGTGCAGAAGGAATAGCCCTTGATGGAATTAATGCTGGAAATGGACGTTAAGCTCAGGTTATGTGCCATTTTATGGGACAGGTTATCTTTTACTGCAGGTTATTTTTTTTATTTCATTTAGGATAGGTAAATATTTCCTCAACATGATCATTTCACAGCACAACAAAATGTGTCAGCAGTAAACGCTTGCAAAAACTACTCAGTCTTTCTGTTTACAGCCAGAGTCATGAACAGGACATGAATTATTCAGTCTGTCACAGCTGTGATTTCAAATTCCGGGAAGTTTAAGGGTCCCGTTTTACTCACATTTCAGCCTTTTGTGAATTTGTTTTTCATTGCACCGTGCCCCAAGATACTGCCTCATTATTTATTTAATTTTCATATTGCTGGAAATACTGCTGTGCACACAGAAAGCACAGCTCCTACCTGGTGCAACCACCAGTAATGTGAGTTAATTGGAACTAGTGTGTCGATAGACCAAACTAGAGGGTAATAACTGCTGAATCCAACTCATTCTTGATTTTGACATGACGTCTATGATCACATTTTTATATACAAAAAATATTTTTTTAAATAATAAACCAAAATCCTCATAAAGTCAGTGAAACTAGTTTTCTATCGTGTCTTACACATTGTGGTATGGTACAGAACACCATGTTCCCAGAAACAGCGATCTTTATTAAAAAATGTTAATCATCAAAATGTGAAACCGTGTGTGAGAATTGGGAGGGAGGAAACAAGGATTTAGTCCCACTATTTGGTGTTAAAACCAAATTAGTGTATCTTAATCTGGATGCCGTGTGTGTGTGTGTGTGTGTGTGTGTGTGTGTGTGTGTGTGTGTGTGTGTGTGTGTGTGTGTGTGTGTGTGTGTGTGTGTGTACATGTGGAATGGGTTGATGATGCCAATGACACATGTCCTCTGTGGGAGTCTTGCTGTTCTGAGCTGGGGATGTAATCTCTGCTCATATTTAATAGAATAGCTGAATGATTCCGGCTGTCCAGGTTTTGCAAGTAAAAACTGTTAGGTGACTGACCTTCAAGCCTCGGATGGACATGAAACTCCCTCGGTTCAATCATCAGTACAAAACATGAACCTTTGTGTCAGAAAAGTCAAAGGTACAAGCCGGTGTACATAAAAACGTTAGGAAAGAAGTAACTATAAACTAGCAGTTTGGTAAGAAACATCCAATCACAGAGTTTAAAATTGGGTTGCCTTTGTAACTAAAATATTATATATTATTGTGAATTTGTCCAGGATGTTGTTATGCTGAGAAACACTGAGGTTATTACATGAAAACTTTAGCCAGCATTAGTCAGTTGTTTAAATGCCAAAATCAATCTTTGTTCTTCAATCTTCGACAAGGACCTCTTTTCAGTTGTGCAAATTATGATTGTTATCTGCTGGAAGCCAAGGTGAAAGTAGCATGATGTTGTCACGGCACTGACATATCAAGGTGAAGTGGATGGTTGGGCATAGAAAGTGTGTAATTTTTTACTTTCACGTCCTAGACAACCGGTTGCATTTAATTTCCTGCCAACAGTCAACATTGTTTTTGTTGTGTTTGTGTGTTTTTCTCCTAACCTAAGGACCAGTATGTAGGATTTAGTGGCATCTAGCGGAATGTGCTGTGAAGTCTGAAGGAGAAACTATGGTGGCAGTAAATTTGCGATAAAGCGATAGGCCCTATCTACAGCCAGTGTTTGGTTTGTCCATTCTGGGCTACTGTAGAAACATGGTGGTTCAATGTAAAGCCAGTAGAACCTCCTATATATTACACACTGGACCTTTCACCAAGTAGTTTTTTTAAACCTTAACCATATGGATTAAAGATTAGTCTGGCAGAAAATACAATGGGAGAAATCACCTTTGCTATTTTGCTGGTTGTATGGAACTTGAGATAGTTGGAAAGCACTTTAAGAGATAAAGAGAAAAGGAAGAAGAAACCAGAGTGATTGTGATCTCCTCATGGTGTACCCTTGAGCTGTGTGGAACAGCATGGCGGCGTCCTTGTTTTGCATGCGGCTTTCATAACTATTTCCCCAGATGAAAAATATATTGTACATAAAACATATTGCATCTATTTAGATCCCCTGACATGTTGCTGTGTAAATACCTGACAGCAAACAACCCTGCCTGAGTTTCAGACTGTGTTGAGCACTTCATGCCAAGCCTCTAAAACTTTTATGACCCTCTGTTAGCAGGTGAGAGAGAGAGAGAGAGAGAGAGAGAGAGAGAGAGAGAGAGAGAGAGAGAGAGAGAGAGAGAGAAAACAGGCAAAGTGTTGTTCTTTACTATCCATCATTTCTCAGCAGCATTCACA